CCCGTTCCATCTTGGAAATGTAGTACTGCAGCAACAATACCGGGCAAATGAATATACCCGTTACTCGGAGTAAATGCAAGTTCTCCTTGAATAGGATCAGAATAATCAACACGTGACTTTAAACCATCATGCTCGTCCCACTGGATTTGATCCATTCCCAAAACGAATGTCCCACGAGTGTGTAGTACTGGGACTTGAGCTCGAAATCATTTCTCTGAATAGTTGGAGGGCATATAGCTGATTTGTTGGACTAGTATTGATCTGGACGGTTGTAATCAGCCAATGTTCTAGGTTGAGCAGCCTCATTTGCAGGTTATACAGCTCCTGCAGTCTCAGTGTCAGGTTCAGGGATTATAGTCCCTTGAGCATCTATCCTTTGACCTACTGCATTACGCAAATGACCTTCCCGGTCATGCAGGTTCCCATTCTCGTCCTGTATGAGAATCAGTGTAGCAACCATGTCTCTCGGTTGAGTATCGATCGATGTCCGGATGGATGTGTCGATCGATGTCGGAGGAAGAGTATATGTCAATGGTAGAGTAGTTTTTGTCGACGGTCTGGTGCAAAAATCGGTCGATGAACGAGTGTTACTATCGAGCGATGTGGAGCGTCTTTCTTTGCGGATTGAATATTCCAAGCTAGCAAGATCTTCTGAGAATAGCATTGATTTTTCTTTATTTCTTCTGGTACTGCTGGACATGCACCTGAAAAAACAAAACAACAAAAAAATCTTAGAAAGCAAGTAAATTATTCTTTCAAATAAGAGGTTCAATTGTAGTACTTAGCGATTGAATCCACAACGAGCTAGGGTATGCAATAGATCTAATCAGAATGATTAAGCTAGGTCGACAGTGTTTGATATACCATAGATTTTACCCATTATTAGCCATGGTATATGAGTGTTTTAAAATATATTTATTATGTTTTGGAATATTTTTAGAGTATTTATAGGTTCATGTACGTTCTAAAGAAATATGGTGATTTGGTATCTTTTGGAGCCCTTTGAGTGCAAAACTGCACTGACACATCAGATATTTAGCTATGGATAGAGACCTTCCCACCGTTAAATTTCGCCCATCTTTTGCCACAAGATATAGCTTTGAGTTAGCTTTCCAATGCCACCGCTTTGAGGTCAATCAGCATCCTGTAGCAGACGTTATACCCGTTTTCTTGAAGAGCGGTTAGTCTACCTCGCGAGAGGAAACTGTCGAGAAGATAAAGAAGAATCGATCGATTCAACACCACTTGTGTCGATTGATGGAGATCCCAGAATGCGGGCCGAGTATATTTCAAGACCGACTTGAGCCCATGATTTACCACAAATTATCAGAATGCCCTTGGACGACCAAAAACCCTATTTATGTTATTTGTAAGCCATTGTTGACGGAGGAGATTACCTGAGCTTAGTTTTCATTGTTCTTAGTTCTAGAAGAGAAGGGAGGAACTCCTTCAGAGTTCTCCTGGAACTCCTTTGGTTCTTTATTGCTTTTCATATTTTATATATTCTATATTATTCATCTATTCTATTCATGATTTTTATGACAAACTTCATGCTAGAGTAGATCCACTTGTTAGGTTTAGGGTTTAAATAGGTTAGAAGGGATTAGCCCCAACTATAGGATTTCTAGTTGTGATACTCATTGATAAGATGTTTTAATTGCTAATGGTTCTAGAGTAGTTAACCAGAAACATTGAATCCTGGATTACTTAGGTTGGATTAGAGAAATTTAAGTAACTCTAAATATCCTGAACACATCTCTATTAAGCTAAGATTTGTTAGAAATATAATTGACATGATTTGATTTAGAAATCTTTAGTGGGTTTATAACTCGTGTGCATTGCTTGACTGGAGTCATTGATCGATCTTCCTATCAGAAATTGGTCGATGATGATTTTAGTGTATCGGTCGATTGTCCCATAGATAATCGATCGACACTGTCAATTGCAGCCATCTGGTCATTAGACTTATTTATTTGAACGTTAGTTTAAGTAAATTGTTCAACAAGAATAGTTAATGCTTTATAGTATCTTGCAAGCAACTGAATAGCTCCTATAGGATTATAATCCGAATACCTGAATAGAAACCCTAGATGCAGCAACCATCCTTTCAACAAACAATTTCTTGCCAAGCTGAACGATTTCCTTGTTCATCTTGTTTACTATTTTATTGCTTGCTTATTATTATTTACTACTTTTATTATATTTACCTAGATTATTAATAACTGATTAGATTTAATTGGTTCCCTAACTCCGCGTGATTCAATCCCTAAGTACTACAAAACGCTATTAAACGTTTTTATTATTTCATCTCTACAGTCATTCTCGTTGGAAAAAATGACATGACACTTAAAAGGTGACATGACATCATCTTTTATTGGGAGATGTAAAATTTCCTTATAAAAATTTAATCTTTTTGCATAGATTTTAAATAAGATAATAAAAATAACTTATATATCATCAATAATATCATTTTCCATATAAATCTTTATTTATGGTAAACTATTACATATTTTAATATTTCATATATCACAATTAAAATAATAATATATATGTATCTCAAATTAATAAAAATAAACTAAATAAAGTAACACTAATCCAAATATAATTTGCTAGTTAAATATTTAAACATTATTTTAATTTATCTATTCATCTTCATCATTTAAATTAACAAAAAGATTTTTTAATTTAAATAAAACAAAGAAAGTCTCAAATTAATTAGAATTTTGACTTGGTTGCTCTTTTTGGGAATAATAAAATTGACTTTCCTTTTAGTATATATGTAAAAGGCAAAAATAGAAACAATGTATTTTTCTCTTTGTAATATTTTAATAAAAATAACTAAACTGATTAAATTATTTAAAAAAGAAAATAGGTACTAATCGGTAATAACTCTTTATTTTCTAGAAAGGGATAACCCTTTTTTTGAAAACCCTAATTAATTTCTAGATGAAAACATTGACGATGATCACTGATCTTTCATTGGACTTGGTAGAGGAGATACTCTCTAAGGTCCCGATAACTTCTCTAAAAGCAGTAAAATTCAATTGCAAAGGATGGAACACTCTATCCGAAGATAAGAGGTTTAGAAAGATACACTGTAGACAATCAGCCAAAGAATTTTAGATGTTCGTGGCTTTTGGTGGTTATTGGTATGAAAGAAGATTCAGTCTCCACGGAAGCCATAACATCAAAGACTTGCCATGTATGAAGGAGATAGGAAAATTATAGAGTTCTGATCGGAAGATATATATGTATATCCCCTATACATTAATCATGAACATTACAATATGTTTTTGTAGTCACGTGTTATCACCAGAACAATTCTTAGGCCTCGATTGGTACAACAAATGATAAAGCAGTAGCAGTATGCTGCAGAAGCAATATGCTGCAGAAGCTATATGCTTTCATTAAAGTTTTTAATAAAGTGATTGGCACAGCATTAGCAATATACAATTTTAAAATTTTCATAATAGTTTTTAAAATTATATATTACTTTTAAAATAATATATATATATATATATAATATATATATAATATTAGTAATATATATAATATTAATAATATATATTTTTATTAAAATAATGAATTTTATTCATTATAGAAATTATATTTAAAAATGTAAATTTTATTTAAAAATAATGAATTTTATTCATTATATAAACTATATTGTAAACAATATATATTATAGTTGGTCCATATAAATATATATTATATTTTTTATTAAACTAACTATTGAAATAATTAGTACTGTACAAAACAATATATTTTCTTTCCTTAAATAAAATCTACGGGATTACCTAATATGATTAAAATATATATGCAATTAATGATTATGAATAATATTTTTGTGTCCTCTCTCTTTTTGTTTAATTTTACATTATTAAAATAAATTAAACAATAAAATTAAATATATAATAAAAATTAATTTTTCTCTTATATCTTATATTTTGATTTTTTTAAATGACCATAAATTGCTAAAAATAGTAAAAGTTCCACACTGAAAATTATAACAATGCAGCGTTTTGATTATAATTTTAAATATATAGATATATATATTCGTAAATATAATTTTAAGTTAAAAATATTTTATCTTAATTTAAATTTTAATTAAATCAAATTTATATTTAAATATTGGTAAGAAAATAATAAAACCTACAATATAGTAAAATTTATTATTAAATATAATTTAAGCTTAAAAAACATTTTCCTGCACATGGTGCAGAAAAACACCTAGGGTCTAACTGGTGACCATCATAGGAGCTAGCCTGGGCATTCGGATATTTGGTTCGGTTCCGGATAGGAACCCTTCGGTTCTGGGTATATCGGATAAGTATTTTTTTGTACATTTTATTAAAATTATAATCAATAACTAGAAAAGTAAGACATGTTATCATTCAACAAAACTATGGAGCGACTTCATTCCAAATCAAATCATTATACTAAAATGATAACAAATATCAAAACATAATATTAAAATATAAAATAACAAACATTTAATCACTAACATCAAATGTCAAATAGTTATTTTTGTGTTTCTAATTAAAATCGCGAATTTTTAAATTAGAATCACGAATTTTCAAATCAGAAACATAAGTTTCCATGTATTTTCAAAATGAAGTTTTCAAAAAACGTGTTTCTAAAGAGTTTTCTCAAGTTTCCAAGAGATTCTGATTCTGAAACGTTTCTAAAATAGGAAACGGAACTTGAACGGAGTTTCACCTAGCCCATTAGACTCCTAGTTTCTTAATTAAGGACCCAAATGTTTCAATCTTTCGGTAACACGTGTCTTACATGTGATCTCCCAAAAGAAGTGTAATTTTGTAAAGAACAAAGACAAAAAGCAAAATAATATCTAAGCAAAACAAAGATATTATCTGAAAAGCCCAAACAAAAACAAACCATTAGTTTTTATTTTCAGCAGACAAGGAAGGGTTTACACCAAATCCACAAAATCATTTCTGTAATGAAAATCTGAGGCCCCTCTTTTTACTCTCAAATGTTTCTTTCAATTAACCCTTTTTGACTCATTGTTAATGCTTCCACAGGGAGAAAGCTGAGGAAACGGAGGCGAAAAATTTCAGGTCTGTTCCTCCTTTTTTTTCCTTTGTCTTATCTGTGTGATTTGTACATAGTTCTGTTTTTCTTTTTGTTGGTAATAAAACTTTTCGATGTGTCTCGCTCTCTCCACTCGTTTTATTTTAAAATCCGATAGACAAATTATCTTTGGATTCGATTCTAGGGGTATTGCGAAAAAAAAATGCTAATTTTGTGTGTTTGATTAGTGTGTCTGATTTTGAGGTAATTTTTTAATTAGGACTCCTGATTTAGGGGTTAAACATGGTTTGCATGTTCGATTACTACTGAATCTCTCATCTGTTTATAGATCTAAAAAAAAAGTTTAGTGTTTGCTACTTCACAACATGAGACAGCATTTTGGTTTTACAACATTACTGATTCTGATTTAATGTATTTGTAATATAGCTCAGCTTTCTACTTTATGTGTATTGATGATTCTCACCTTGCATTTGCATCTTCACTGTTTCAGCTAGACTTTAACATTTATATCAAAATGGAGAAAGAAAGCCATGAGGAGAACAACCACACCATCCCTGGTGAATTCGTTGCCAAACGGAAACCTGGTCGACCCAGAAAGCACCTCAAGCTAGACCCCACCGAGCAGCCTCCTCGCCACATCGAAGACGACAATGAAGCTATGGTTGGACAACACGTTACTGGCGTCATCGAGGCAACCTTTGAAGCCGGCTTCTTGCTTTCGGTTAAGCTTGGTAACTCTGATACCACGCTTAGAGGTGTGGTGTTCAGGCCTGGTCGCTGCGAGCCTGTATCGGTTGATAACGATATTGCTCCTCATGTTCCCATGATAACAAGAAACAGCGACGTGGCGATGCATCAACAACATGGATTACCAGCTAAACGAGGTCGTAAATCTAGGTTCCGTGAGAAGCGTGGAGCATTGGCTCCTGTCCCCATTCTCCCCGCCAATCCACCAATGCCAAACCATTCTTTGGTTCCTGAGAATGTCCCGGTCCACCAGGGACATATGCAGACCGAGTCTCAAGTGAGTGGAGGAGGTAGTAACGGCAAGCCGTTTGAGACGCTGCTTACACAAGTGATGAAGGAAGGTCAAGTTCATAACACTACGCCACAGTTCACTGAAGCTGAGTCAGAGGAGCAGGCTCTGTCTATTGAGCCGTTGCAGGCGATACACCCGGTCCATCCAGTACATGTCCCAAAACCAATGCCGAGTTATGGACGTGGCAAGATGACAGAACTTCTTCAGGTGACAAAAACAAACTAAACCTTATCTATGTTTTTATCCAAAGTTTACAGAGTTCATGGTTTGATTTGTCTTAGGCGGTGCAGGAGAATGTGAGGGAGACCCATTTTTCTCAAGGACAGTGACTATTCTCTGGAGATTCTTGCTTCAAATCGTTGAGAGTTTTAAAAGTCTGATTCAGTCTCATTGTAATCAGAGATAGGAAAACAGAATTTAACTACTGTCTAGCTTAAAGATGTCAGAAAAGTTTATGATGATGATTCGTTATATAGATGCTCACAACTACTTTTTCTTTCGATAACAGTTGGAAATCAATAAGATGAGTTGGATATCTATAAACCAAAGTCGAATTCTTAATTTCTATTTATGGATAAGAACTGTTAGAATAGCCAGGGAACAAGGTAACTGAATAAAAACAAGATATCTCTTTTATAAGAGGAACCTTTTTGTGCCAAGGAAACCATTAGGAACAATAATTGGCATGTGGGGGTGGGTTATTGGGAAAAGGCGACTGCATAACCGGAATATCGGTGTGCAAAACTACACAACGATAGTGTCCACTGGCTTGAAATGGTTGGTTGGGAAGGTGTAGCTGCATCAGTTGAATTGTGATGGGAAACATAAGAATATATGTAGCATGGCAAGTAGTGCGTGTGTGTGGAGGCCAAGCTTCTTCTTTTTTTTCCGTCAAGTTTTTGTTTTATAGATAAACGGACCAAGTCCAAGAGGCCGAAGCCCAACTACAGCAACACACTACAAAAGACCCAACAAGAACCGGGCAAAACATAAATGGCCGAAGCCCACATCAACTACTACAGCATTTTAACTGACCAAGCAAGCCCAAAAGACAAACAGACTAACATGAAAGGCTAAACGGGCCCTCGGCCCAAACTCAGAAGCCGCATGACAGAGTAGCGAGTCAAGGAGGCTGGTGCGACACGTGGAGAGATCTGCTCCATTTACGCGGCACGCGTCCACACCGCCTCAACTTGACCACCTCCGCCTCTACGCCGCCGTCGCATCACCATCGAAACCACATTCGTCGGAACTCCATAACCTACAAGCCTCCAACGAACCCAAAGCCGTTCTACATCGCAATGTCATCACATCGGAGAGTTCCATCGAGCTTCGAGATCTCCTCCGACTATGAACCACTTCACACCCTAGACACACGGTTCGAACCATCACCTTTTATCTTAAAAAGTCATCACCTCGCCGGAGAACCTCATCTTCTACCGAGATCTCATCCGCAGTGACCAAACCCACCCTTCACAACAACCATACCAAACTTGACACAAATCGAAAGAAAAGTAACCTCTACCCAATGGAATCTGGGTCCCTAACCGGCAACGCGGAGCTTTGCTAGCCTCCGTTCTCCGTAACCAAAAGTCGGCGACGGCAAGTCTGAAGGAGACTCCCTTCCCGGAAACTAAAGCCGGCGTTGGTGGATCTGCGCAAGCCTCCACCTCCCGGAAAAATAACAGCTAACCAAACAAACCGCTCCCTCTCCACCGGGAACCTTCAGACGAAAGCGTCGTTACTCCACAACCGAACCACCGTTAGGTAAGGAAGCAGTAACAGAGCTCGGACAAGGCGTTCGTTGGCAGGACGGCAAGGAAGAGCAAAGAAGGAACCACTATGACTGACAGGAAAGGGCTCTGGCGCTAGCACGGACGCTCACGCGCCGGCCAAACGCCGGAATCCTAAGTAGATCTAACTTCTCTCTGCTTTTCTCTCTCTACTGCTTTTTTTGAATAACAATAACATGGAGGCCAAGCTTCTTTTCTTGTATTTTTACTCGATATCCAATTAATAGAATCCGGACTAGAATGGAACTCACAAATATTCAAATAATATATATTCAAGCGACAATCAATTATATGAAATACGATTTTGAGCATAAAATATTAATTAAAAATATAAATAACTAAATATCTATAAATATAATTTTGCAATCTTTTAAACATGTTTATATATATATTACTCAAAAGTCACCCGAATATAATTGTAATGATCCATTCATTCAAAAAAAAAAGATTATTATCTACAAAAAAGAAAAGAAAAGAAAAGAAAAGAAAAGAAAAATGCCTATCAATTGGGTTTTATTGGGCCTACATAAGTTTAGGTTGATCAACAACAAGTTTTTGTAAAGTTTGAATCATTCTACTTAAACCCTTCAAAGCCTGTTGGCTGCCTCTCTCTCTCTCTCAAATACCTAAAACCCTAATTTTTCTCAGCTTCACTGCAAATCCAAACCCTCTCAAAAAAAAAAAAAAAAAGCTTCTCTCTCTCTCTATCTCTCGTGTTTACCGCCAAGATGGGAAGACCCAAGAAGACGAGAGGAATGAAGAAGCAGATGCGTATCAACGAACGCGAAGAAATCGAACTCCTAGAGCAATGGATCGAATCTCAGAAACCCGACTCAGGATCCAACCCGCTCGCTCTCGGGCCTCTCCCGAAAGACGCCAAAATCGGAAAGCTCGAAGACGGAGAATTCTCGCGTTACGCCGGCGTCAGGAGGTTCGATCAGTTACCCATATCGGACCTAACGAAAAGAGGGTTGAAAGCGGGTAAGTTCGTCGATATGCACGATATCCAGACAGCTGTTTTGCCTCACGCTTTATGCGGAAGAGATATCCTCGGCGCGGCCAAGACTGGCTCCGGCAAAACTCTCGCCTTTGTTATTCCGGTGAGGGTTTCAGTAAAGTTTCTTCCTTTTTTTTGTTTATGTTAGGGGAGGTCCTAGCCAAGTTAAAATTTTTAAACCCTCCAAATTTGTAAAAAAAGGAAATTTGATTTGAAATCTTTAATAAATTGCCTATCTTCTGTTGTTGTTGTTGTGATATTTAGGTGCTGGAGAAGCTGCATAAGGAGAGATGGGGTCCTGAAGATGGAGTTGGGTGTATTATTATATCTCCTACGAGGGAATTAGCTGATCAGACTTTTGATGTGTTGAATACAGTTGGGAAGTTTCATAAGTTTAGTGCTGGGCTTTTGATTGGTGGTCGTGATTGTGTTGATGTTGAGAAGGAGAGGGTTAATGAGATGAATATTTTGGTTTGTGCTCCCGGCAGGCTTTTACAGCATATGGATGAGACTCCGAACTTTGAGTGTTCCAGTCTCAAGGTATTGAGCTTTGTATTTATCTTTGAAGGAGATAATATTTGGGCATTTTAGGTTGTTAAGTTCATTATCTTTTTTTTTTTTTTTTGGAATAGAATAGGTTATAACAGATGATGTGCATTTACATTAGGTTAGGATGGTTGGTATAAGGCTATTGTAGAACGAGTAGATGTGCATTCCTTTGTCTGTATCTGGTAGATTTCTTTAGTCTTTTATGGTTTTAGAATCTGTGTAATAGATGTTTTCTTTTGGCTGCAGATTTTGATTTTAGATGAGGCAGATCGTGTTCTTGATTCTGCATTCAAAGGGCAGTTGGATCCTATCATCTCGCAGTTGCCTAAGCGCAGGCAAACTTTGCTTTTCTCTGCGACTCAAACAAAGAAAGTTAAGGATCTAGCAAGGCTCAGTTTGAGAGATCCTGAGTACATCAGTGTACATGCAGAGTCTGTTACAGCTACCCCAACTACCTTAAAGCAGACTGTAATGATTGTCCCAGTTGAAAAGAAGTTGGACGTGTTATGGAGCTTCATCAAATCTCATCTTAACTACAGGATTCTCGTTTTTCTTTCCACCATAAAGCAGGTTACATAATGAAGATGGTTTTGTTCACTTTTATGCTGCTACATTTCTCGTATCTTGAGATTGATGAAGATGCCACTATTTTGACAGGTCAAATTTGTTCATGAAGCGTTTAACAAGCTCCGGCCTGGAATACCTTTGAAGAGCCTTCACGGAAAAATGAGTCAGGAAAAGAGGATGGGAGTGTGCTCTCAGTTCATTGAGAGACAATCAGTTCTCTTCTGTACCGATGTTCTTGCTAGAGGTCTTGATTTTAAGAGTGTTGTCCACTGGGTTGTTCAGGTAAACATGCAGAATTGCAAACCTATTTGATCATTTTTGGGGGGAGTCTGAAGTGGTGATATCATCCTCTTAATGTGATAGGTGGATTGTCCTGAAGATGTAGATACTTATATTCACCGAGTTGGGCGTACAGCTCGTAACGGAGCTGAAGGGAAGGCGCTCCTCTTTCTGACACCTTCTGAGGAAAAAATGGTTGAGAGATTACACAATGCTAAAATTCCTGTAAAAGTCACCAAGGTAGTAATAGATCCCGTCCTCATGTTTTCTCAACTCTCTACCGTCTGTGGTAGAAAACGTTTTAACGTATTTGACTTGAAAGATTATATGTTCAACACAGGCAAACAGTGACAAGTTGCAGGAGGTTTCTAGACAATTGGCTTCTTTGTTAGTCAATTTTCCAGATCTTCAAGCTGTTGCTCAGAGAGCCTTCATCACATATCTGAGGTCCATTCACAAAAGAAGAGATAAGGAGATTTTCGACGTGACGAAGCTGTCCATTGAGGACTTCTCTGCTTCACTTGGTCTTCCGTTTACTCCTAGAATCCGATTCGCAAACCTTCAAACCAAGAAGAAAGGAGTCTCTAAAAGCTCAATCGCACTTGAGCCTGAGAATGATGATGATGAGGATGATGTAGCACCTCGTCGGGTTGTGAAGAAAGATCTTCTAGGTGATGATTTAGAGGAAGAGGATTTTGCTCTCAGGCCAAATGTAGAGGGCAAAGGAGGAGAAAAATCAAACAAGGACGAACAAGTTCCCATGTATGGGTTTTTCCATACCATATACTATTTTTTTCTGTATTCGTTTAAATCCAGTTTGTGAATATAAATTCCCTGTTGAGTTTTCAGGCCAGGAACTCGGGTTTTGAAAAACAAGAAGCTGAAGATCAGCCTGCACAGACCAAGTGGGTCCAGGGTTAAGTTTGATGAGGAAGGTAATCCCGTGGCTCCCTTAGCAATAGTAGCTGCCTCAACTGAGACTGAAGTAGCCCTTGATGAAGGTAACATGAAGCTTGAGTTATTATTAAATCCCTATCGTTTTGTTCGCACAAAATAGTGTAATGATACAGTTATTTACAACGTATGTGGAATTGGTTTTTGATTATTTGCAGAGGCAAAGAAGGATTACTTGAAGAAAGTGAGAGAGCAACTAATAAAAGTGGATAACGTGGACAAGAAAGTGGAGAGGGAAAAGAAGAGGGAGAAGAGAATGAAAGCAAAGATTAAGAGGAAGCAAGGAGACATGGAGGAGGAGGAAGAAGAAGAAGGTGATGAAGGCTCTGCATCATCAGAAGAAGAAAGAGGAAGAAAACACAAGAGAGCGAAGAAGATGCACTTTGATGATAATGGTAATGGAGATGAAGAAAAGGAAGGAGGGAAAATCAACACAGATTCTATCTCAATAGCTGAGCTTGAAGAAATGGCTCTCAAATTGATAACGCAGTCATGAAAATCTCATATAGGAAACGTTTTCTCTGTCTAAGCTCCCTCATTCGCTGATTCGCCCAAGGAAGCGTTCATTTTCTGAACCAATGTGATAATTTCCGACAAGTTTTGTCTTTTCGTTCAATCAAATCGTGTTAGAAACAATTATTTATATATTAACTTTTCTGTTGAACTAGAAAAAGTTTATAAAAGAGTGAGCAGATTGTTTTTTTTTAAACAAAAAGAGTTAGCAGATTGGAATAATTTTCAGTTTTCCTTTTGATTGTTCGGCAGGTTTGTTAATCTCGGAAGATCAACAGTTATATACACATAGAAAATTGGTTATCGAGACTATTATTTGTTCTATTATCTGGTCGCATTCTTCAATTTTCTTTTCTAGTAAAGTGGATGGTATTCCTACGTGGCTCACATTTGTTAGTGTAGTATTAACGGGATTTTTTTAATGGTAATGAGATAAGAACTCTGGGTTTAACTAGAACAGAGCTGTAACATTTTTGTATTGCACATGATTTCATTGTTATTTCATCTTTGATCTTTGTGAACTCGTGAGAGGCTAGTTCTTCAATTGCAAATAGTCGGGGATTGACGTGAAAGTTTTGAAAATACTTCCATTTTATTTTTCCCGGTTTGATTGAGATATCGAAAGCTTTCTTAAAAGCGTGATATGAATTTCATCTCAATATGTGATCTTTTTAGTGATGTAGAGCCTAATACTTTAGTAGTGATGTGACATCAAGGAAAGAATTCGATTGTTATTGGTTTTAACTTGAGATTGATGGTCAACGATCCAGAATTTGAAATACGAAACTCTTGTTGATGAGGCAACCACATTGATGGTGAAAGAATCTTGGGATTCACTATTGTTGTATGGGCTCTGGTATCTATGAACGCAATGACGTGAATTGACTCTTCATGATATGCTGGGTCAAAGATCGTCACTGGTAAATGTGGAGTTTGTAATTCTTCTTGTTGTGGCATCTTTGTGATCTTGAAACATCAGTTTTCATCTTCATCTTCATCGGGAGAAGATTCGGAAGAGTATTTCTCTTCTGTGTAACCAAATATTGCATCATTATTGTCATTGACATAAGTTAAAATGGACTCCAAGTCATGACCGACGAGATCAATACCTGGTGTGATCTCCGATATCGAATTGATTAGGTACTGTTGTTTCTTCGTGGTTTGTTCGAACAATTCTCCGCAAAATATCATTCTTTTCGACATAGGAAACATCTTGACGCTTTGTTTCTTTCGAAAGAATACTTATACCTAAATTTGGGGAGTGCTTAGAGAATCGTTTTTTGAATTTTAGCCGTTTTTCATGTGTATCACACGAGCAAGATTTCTTGGACTTCGAACACTGATAGATATGGTCTGGCACATATTTTGGATAGTTGCTTTGATATATCCATAAATTCCATCCATAACTCTTTTTGTTTACAGAGTTTGTCGAGTGTTATGAAAACCTATTGTTGGATCTGGTCGATTGAGACTTCTTCGACTGTTTGTCTTTGATCTCTGATACACAACTTAGTCTTTATTGACTAAGGTAGTCATCAATGGAGAAGAGATAGACATGCTTTATGCTTGGATTGTTAAGGCCGTTAAGAGCGTAGTATTTTCTTGTATGTCTTTCGAAGAGTTTTGCAAAATAATTTTCCTTAACGAACAATATTTTGCTGAGAAGAATATTTTTTGTAGTTGTTCTTTTTTGGTGCGTAGGTGTACTGATGAATTCTCTGTGAATTTTTCCAAGAAGCAGCGGTATTGTTGTTTGATAGACTTGTTGTTTGTACTCATCGAGTGAATTTCACCATTTCTTAAGTGTGCTAGATAGTCGTGTAGTGAATTGTTAGATCACCAAATGCAGAGGGGATGTAAGGGCTTCATAGCTCATCCATGCATGGAATTCTTCTCGATGATCATTCCATTTGTCGAAAGATCATCGAATGTGAAGACCATATGATTGGTATTTATGGTTTAGATGATACGAAATTTATATCTTCTTTGTTTGAATAAACTTCACTGATATTTGGTTCTTGTTTTGAAGTGTGATTTTTCTCCAATTATAAATTATCGTGATAGAAATTCTTCATTTGAATCAGTTTTATAATCACTTGAACTTGTATTGAGAGGTGATCAATTTTGATGATGAGTTTTGCAGTCAAAGACTGAGGATCTACTTGAATTGGTGATGATTGATCAGATATTTCAAAAATTTTGCTAAAAGTATTGAGTAGATTGATCATTAAAAGTTCAATTATTTCAATGTCTTTCTTTTTATTCTTCTTATCTTTTACAAATTTGTAACTGGAAAATGATATGAGAATAGATTTTTATTAGGATTGACTTAAACATTAGATTCTTTTTGTCGGCTTCGAACGAGTTTGGTTATACTCAGAATAGATACTGAATAGATATCATAGATTTTGTTTTGACCAAAAAAAAAAAAAAAAATATCATAAATTTTGTGTTGTCCCACCATGAGTTGCTGTTGAAACTTTTAATCCGGGAGAAACATCGTTAACTAAATATTTTCCTCCTTTGGCATGGAATATCTTGTTGGTCATAATTTAAGGTTACATCTAATTATTAGTTTTGGCAAAATTTTCAGAAACAGAGTTTAAACATTCAATAACCGATGTGTCCATAGCAAATTCCACATTATTAAATTTTCTTTTGTTTAAAAAACATAACATTAACCCAATAGCAAAACCAAACTCACGTCAATGTAAAAGACAAAAACACTCTTAAAAAACTAATTTTCCTATGAAGACTCAACGTCAACGATGACTGATGACTGATATATTTTGTCCGTCCAAGACTTTGGTAGAAGAAGCTGCTGCTGTTGATTTTTTACTGCAATAGTAAGAATAACGTATTTACAACTTCACATTTGGTAAATCTTAAAGAAAGAATTATTATTTGTTAGTGCAATTGCGTTACCTGCCGTTGCTGCTGATAGTTGCCATAGCCACCGTAACCGCCACCATAGTACGCACTAGGATCCTGAGGACGAGGAGCTGCATGACCGTATGGCTCATAGCCCTGTGGCTGTGGAGGGTATCCATAGTACCCACTACCACCATTCCATTGACCTTGCTGAGGTTGTGCCTGTAATGTTTTTGCTATTAAATCTATAAAAGATATCACTCTCAAGTTATTAAGGTGAAAAACAAACCTGGTTGTTCGGACTACGTCCCCACGAAAGACGGATGTTTTGTCCACCTAATTGAGTTCCATTCAGATTTGAAAGTGCATGCTCCGCAGACGCCCTGAAGCATAACAAAGACAATAAGGAAGTGTGTAACACACGAACGAAGAGGGTTTTGTCTTCGTGGCCAAAGGCACATATGACTGTTATACCTGGTGGCAAACTGAACGAATCCACAACGCTTCCCTGGAGGTATTTTCACGTGAACCAGTTCTCCAAATTGACCAAAAGTTGACCTCAATTCATCGTCTGTAACGCTAGCATCCAGAGCTCCAACAAATATCTGAACGTCGTACAAAATACGCATCAGGCTTTTATTCAAGCAAAAGAAAACCAAATATTTTGAGGAAACTATAGCAAACTATAACAACTCACAGTTGTGTTACTTGGATCGCTTTCTCCAGGATTTCCTCCTCCTTGGGTGTCCTGATACATGCCTGCATATAACAAATAGGAGAAGGCTAAAGACACTATTATATTGCATAAAACCCCACTCAACAAGGTAAACAACTATACGGAGACTAAACTGAAGCACAAGATATTAACTTAAATAACGCATGCAAATAACATTCACACATCAACACTCAGAGAAACCAGCTCAAATATCATTGACACAGATATTGATGAGAACAGATATCAAACTATGGCAAGCTTTAAGAGTACAATATAGTTAGAAAATAAAATGCATTCTGCCAAAAAACGCTGCCTACCTTAGACATGAAATATAACTTGAAGATAAAAAAGGCTCGAAATCAAGAAAGGGAAAGTAATGAGCAATGGAAATATAACTTGAAGGTAAAAAGGCTCAAAATCAAAAGCTTTAAGTTGATAAGCAAGAAACTGTAGGCTGACGAAGCCACTTAGTATATAAAATCTTCTGAAAACATAACCAACTGACCTAAATGAAGCCACGCAATAAGGTGGGATCATTTTCAGCTGAAGTCAGTTCCAGGCTCCCCCAAAGAGAGCCACTTGTTCTCCTGCTTTAAGACAACATGAGTTGATCTTAATATGCTTTCAGGTATTCATTTTATGTGCAAACCGAAAGAAAACAAAGAGCAGACACATACTCTTAATATCAGGGCACCGAATAAGAGAACAAGCTTTAGCAAACAGAAAACACATCCACAAATAGAAGGCAATCAACAAAGAAAAAAAAAAAACTACTCAAGCCACCAACATACTCAACACAATAGAGGCATACCTGGCTGCTGCATCGTAAGAGGCTTCTTGTTAGCAGCAGGACCAATACGCATAGCCCTACTCGAGCAATACTGACCATTCATCTCCCCCATAGCACGCATCTGCTCACTCTCATCCCCAAACCTAACAAAACCATACCCCTTAGACCGTCCAGTAGCCCGGTCCATCATAACCTTCGCCCCCTTAACAGACGCATACACACTCGAAAACGTCTCCGTGAGCATAAAGTCATTAACCTCAGGAGCCAAGTCGCCTACAAAGATAGTATACTCAGGCCCATCAGGCTGGCGTCTCTCACCAGCCCCGGCCTGAGCCCAGTTCAGCTTGAAGATCTGGTCAGAGTTAGGCATCTGAGTACCGTTGTAGGTCTGCAAAACACGATCAGCTGACACGTGGCTAGCAAACTCAACGAATCCGTAACCTTCACCCAATCCAGTTAGCTTATTGCGAATGACTTTAGCTGATTGAACCTGAAAAACAACAAAGAATCAAACTTTCCATCTCGACACGTGTCAATCTTCTACAAAGACTAAAACTTCTTTTTTTTTTGTATGACCTCGCCGGTTTGAGCGAAGACGGTCATGATGTAGTTTTCGTCCATCCAGGGAAGCAAGCCACCGATCCAAAGGGAGCGAATCTCGTTATCGGATCCTGGATTCTGAGATCCGACTCCGTAGGGCTGTTGTTGACCTTGTGACGGCGGCGCTGACTGCTGCTGGTTCCATTGCTGACTCTGTTGTTGCATCATCCACGAGAGTTGCTGCTGGTGGTGATAAGCTTGCTGGTCAGATGGGATCTGTTGGCCTGCTCCGGTGGGGTTTTGCGGTGGCTGCTGCATCGTGAAAAAAACCTAGAAAAGGGGGATTTTTGTCGCTAATGTCGAAAAGGAATAAAATCTCGGGGGAGAGAAAGTTTGAAGACACGTTGATTAGTCTCGCTTTACTTTATATGCAGTTATGACTGTCGTATTGTGGGCTTTCTTTGGGCCTAGTTTAATAACTTTCAGCCTGGCCCATTAGTTGTTTTAACTGAAGTTGAAATTAGCCGGTTAGGTTTTTGAACCGGACACAGAAGTAATGTTGTAATTCGATAGCCAGCATACGTTAGGCATAAAGAATCATTGGAAAATATTACTTTCTAGCTTGTGAAGATCATATTGATGACACTCCTATGAGGAATTTTTAATTATTTGAAAATATCACTAGGAATGTGAAAATTAATAACACTTACTATGACGCGACTTCTCAGGCTTTTCAGCGAAGCCCATAGAATTTTAAAATCCGCAAATTTCAGGTGATATTATATGTTCAATCCTTCGTGCTTGTTGAGATAATGTATGTAACAAGTTAGTTGTTGAACAAAACCCTTTAATTATAAGTTCATTAGAAGGACCAAATGGTTAGTCTCTCAAATAACATATGGAAGTGAAATTTATATTGTTTAAAAGCATAGGGACAAATAATTATCTTTGTCCCACATCGTAAACAACATGAATAATATATCTTGTTAAATAGAGGAGAAAACAGCAGATCAGTTGTCATACTTAGTAACGTAAGCTTGTAATCCTAGTGGAGGTTATAATGATATTGGTCTGTTGTTCGTTTAGCTGGGTCGGTCGGGAGTGCATACAGATCCAAAATCTTTGTTTCCTCTTAACTCTGTGTGTTGGAATTGGGTTTAAACAAACATGTCATTGATCCGAGTGGTAAGTGGAAACAGAGGCAAGGGGTTCTAAGGCCTAGGGTTAGTAAGAGTGTCGGGTTTGATCAGCCTGATTTCACTAACAAAGCGATCACAACTGTACATTACCTTTTGCTTTTCTCAATGTAATGACTTTTCATGCATTGAATATCACACTGGGTTTTCAAACAACTATTTTCAATGTTTACTTTATTAACATTATAATGACTTTAGATGCATTGAATATTACCTTTTTCTTTTCTCGATGTAATGACTTTTCATGTAGCAACTACTTCCATTTGTATTTGCGGAGCTAGTAACTGCAAAAGTACATGAAGCACTCTCACGTAATTAGTATAATATGACGCAAACATTAATTTACTTCTTTATATATATATATATATACTAATGTGTTTAATTTTTGTTTTTGTAATATATAAGGAATTGGATTATTTTTTAGGGATCTGAACACCCGCACTCTTAAAGAGGAAGTTGTCCAACAACTTCGTTAAAACATCCCCATCTTAATGTGCAACTTGGAGAAAATATTTCCGCCTACTTTTTTGACGTCATGGAACACCTAGTTGTCCACCTCCCGTATGAGGCATTACTTCGTGGACCTGTGCATTATGGATGGATGTATCAGTATGAAAGGGCCATGAAAACTTTGAAAGGAAAAGCCAAAAACCTAGCAAAAGTTGAAGGTTCTACTGTTGCGGGAAGTTTGACGGAAGAAACATCACATTTCACATCGTACTACTTTGCACCGAAAGTACATACAAGGAAACGATTTCCAAAAAGATATGATGATGGAGGTGTCGTGCCGACTTATATGGAAGAAGATGTTCCAGACATCTTTTGTCAAATTGGGCGATTGGGTGGGAAATAGAAAGAGGTTTTGTGGTCGAGTGATGAAGATGTCCATAGTGCACACCTTTATATTCTTCTCAATTGCGAGCATCCATTGATTGCTTATTTTGAAAGGTAAACATATAAACATACATACTTATATATATATATATATATATTCAATTGATTAAATAACATATTAACATAATTTTAGAGCCAATTTGTGACTCAAGTCGAAGAAGCAATCTCTGGTATATCAACAACTGAGTTAGACAAAAAGGAACGATCAACACTTTATCAAGTGGTTGAGGAAACATGTATTATAACTTAAATTGTATGCATACATTACCACATAGTAAGTCTAACGTCTTGTTCTATTACTTTTTTGCAGGTTGATTATGACGATCCTGAATATCCCGCATGGTTTCGCGAATTACTTCAAGGTCCAGTTGCAAAGATCACTACATAACTGATGTATTTCACCCGAGGCTATACTTTTCATACCTATGACTATGGTAGACACCGGACGACAAGTAATTATGGAATATGTGTGAAAGGCGAAACAGATTTCTACGGGATCTTGCAAGAGATTTATGAAGTTTAATTCCCAGGTATGAGTCTGAAATGCGTTATCTTCAAGTGTGAGTGGTACGACCCCATCATCAACAGAGGTGTTTGGATTAACAAGAACGGTGTAGTTGATGTCAATGGTAGACGAAGGTACAACAAATTCTTTTTTTGAGATACATGTTCTGAGTACTAATTTCTACGTTGTCTTTATTTTTGCAGGCACAACAAATTCGAGCCTTTCATATTAGCTTCCTAAGCAGATCAAGTTTGCTTCATTCCATACCCTCGGATTACTACCTCGGGAATAAACTGCTTAGCTGTTATCAAAGTTATACCTCGAGGACGAATAGTCACTAGAAGAACCACCATTACAAGAAGAAAAGACCAATGAAATCGAGGAACCTGAAGCAGAAATTGATGACATCCTAATCGTGAGTACGAAGATGTTCCTGATCACTCAACGGACGAAGGTGTCGAGGCTGAGTTTTACGAAAATGATGATGTTTCTACAGATTCCGAGAATGTATCCGAATGAATTATATATGTTTTATAAGTTTGTTTAATCAAAAAATGAATTTGAATTATGTATGTTTTAAGTTTGTTTAATCACAAAATAAATTTGAAATTGGGGTTTAGGTGTAGAAGAGGTTTGTAGTTTGGTAAGGAAGTTGTGTTTTGGTGTTTGGGGTTTCGAGTTTAGGGATTTACAAACCCTTTCCTCGTAACACCCTAGTAACAGAAAACGCGGGACTCGCTATTTCCTCGTAAAGTCCACGTAGGCTTTTGTGGGAGTCGATTTCACCCTACTGTCAAATAAATCGTAAATAAGGAAACTTCGGGAAAACCCTAAGTTTCCAGAGGAACCGGCTATCTGCGAGAACCGCACAACGAAAATAAGATGACGAAAATACTTAGAATTTATATGTGAATAAACGAAAATAGAGAGCAAAGAGGTTCTTATTCCGTATCTGCGTTAAACTGGTACAAAAAGAATCGCCGAAAGCGTAAGAACTAGAAAACCCTAATTGAGACGCAGCTCGCTAACAGAAAAACGGAAATATTCCTAAATGCTAGTTTTGGTGGTGAGAGCTCTGAATTTCGTATCTGTGCTTCTGCCCTAGACCTCCTCTTTATATACTCCTCGCCTTGGCTATCCGATCTTTCCATTTCGCCCAGATTTGGCTTAAATCGGGAATTTTCCATTCTTCTCGATCCTTCCTTTTCTTCTGCGGAAATCTTCTATTTCTCTTCAAACCTTCCTTTTATGTTTAAACTTGACTTTTATTTTCTTTCTGCGAGTAAACTGTCAAAACGTCATCAAATCCGCGGGTTAGATTCCGTAAAAATCGCAAGATGGGTTTTTATTGCGTTTTAGGTCCTTCCGGGCCGTTTTGCGATAAAAACCGTTTTTCCGACTTTTTACGGGATCGTTTCCTGATCTGACGTCGTTTTAATAAATTTCTCGAGTTAATCGCAAATTTTTACGATTTACTCGACTCTTTTATTAAAAACACGTTTTTCACGACTTACTCGACGTTTTTTATTAAAAGCGCGTTTTTTACGATTTTAACGAGAAATCTCGAATAAATCGTATAGTTTAGGCAATGTTCGGTGTTTCGTTTAACCGTTGCCGTTTTATACGATTTCCTCGAGTTCATTCCGAGAAAACGAAGTTTTACGGTTTTTATCGTAAAACTCGAATGGTAAGTCGGATCGAGATGGAACAAGAGATATTTCGACCGTGGTTTAGAACGCGACCTTGTCGAAAGACGTAAGTTTCGAATCGGGAATGCGGAAAATCGAGACGTGGAGTGTTCGGGAAGTTTTTAGTTCGCCCATCGGCGTACTAAGCCAGGCCTGGCTTAGTACGCCGATGGGCGATCTAAAGAGTGACCCTTAGATCGCCCATCGGCGATCTAGAGAGTGTTTCTTAGATCACCCATCGGCGATCTAAGCCGGGTCCGGCTTAGATCGCCGATGGGCGATCTAAAGAGTGACCCTTAGATTGCCCATCGGCGATCTAAGCCGGGCCCGGCTTAGATCTCTGATGGGCGATCTAGAGAGTGTTTCTTAGATCGCCCATCGGCGATCTAAGCCGGGTCCGGCTTAGATCGCCGATGGGCGATCTAAAGAGTGACCCTTAGATCGCCCATCGGCGATCTAAGCTGGGCCCGGCTTAGATCGCCGA